TAACAGTCTTCACCATGTTAATGCAGAATTTTAATGACTGAGTAGTGGGTGTTTTAATGGCAGTTAATGGGTTGTTACAAAAACAAACAGTCATAAAATACTGGTTAGTTTTACCCATTAAATAATGAAAAAAAAATATTTATTTTAGTCAAGGAAGCCCAAGAGCCCAAGGCCCCAAGGCCCAAATCAAGACATTTTAATATTTACGTGGGGAGTGATTCGAACCCCTGACGTCCCACACAAATGTCACATTTCCCACCACTCTGACACTTTATCTAATTTGATTATTTCTTTCATATTTTATATTTATACCATAAATATATAACACAATCAATATATAACCAAAATTAAGGATCAACAAAATAAAAGTACTTCAAAAGTCCACTTTTGTTATCACCCTACAACATCGTAATTTTTTTTGTTTTTAAAGAAAAGTCACCAAATTAAAGTATGCATGAAACCTGTCTCATCAGCGGCAGCAGATTTTGCCTTCTTGACAGGAACAGAAGTTTCTGTTGCAGATTCAGATGGTCTTTTCTTGGGGCACTCTGCCTTCAATAAGAAAGACAGACTTAATGAAAGCCATTATAAGCTTTGCCAAACATACATTAACAAAACAGAATATGCTGTAAGGATATCTCATCCCCAAAGTTAGTAGAAACACGAAGAAAATTGCCAAAAAACAAAATCACCTAATTCACCAGATGTTCAGAGTCGAAATAACATCACAGTTACACATTTCAAAGCACACGACAATGAAACCAAATCGTCAGCAATATAGCCAATATATAGACGCTCCCACTTTTCCAATCATGTGAAAGCTCAAACTCCCCTTCAAATACTAAGTTGAACATCAGTTGAGGTCTATCCTCTGCAGAGAGGGCTCCTATAACATAGTTCTTAATATCAATCTTCTTATTGAGGGGAAAAATCTTGGCTCCTTTCACATCCTTCACCTCCACCAATGCAGCCTGTTTATGATTGTGAAATTATATAACATCTATAAGATCATAATAAATTGTAAGGAATAAATAAATGTAATGGAACAATAAAAGTACGTGCGAAACTAACCTTGACATGTGAGATATGAATCAGTTTACCAAGATTGTGCTGGACTTTGGGTGGTTGCCCGGCTTTCACTTCATCTCCTGGGCACAGATAACACAATCAGAAATAGAACATAGAAAAGAGATAACTGGTGCTGAATGAGAATTGGTCCACTTGATCAATGCCCATAATTAGGAAAAAAGAACTCACTTACATCGATTATTTGGGCTAGTACTCAATAAATTGCACAGGCTTCAAAATATTTGGGGGCATTGCTAAGTTTGTCGATCAATTTTCCAAATTGGGGTAAGGATGACACAGGAGTAAAGTTTTGTTTCGCAAACAATATCAATTTAGGTAATACGGTAAATTCTATAACTTTTGTATTACGTTCATCATCTAGGTAGAAACGGTCATGTTTAACATACAAGTAGTCAAAAATTAAATCAAATTCTTCAGAAGGTAATATAGGAAAAACATAAACTTTGAAAACCCAATGACCACTTCTATTATAAAAACAACTCTTTTAAATCTATTATTAACATTTCATTTATTTCACGAACCCCTACCTACAGTTTTATCACCTTTTGAAAATAAAAAGAACCAGCATTCCCATGCTACTGTTACCATTCTTTATGTAACATGTCACATGTCTCAATCGTTTAAATTATTGTTTTTAAATTACCCCTTGCTGATCATTGCCTCTGGTAGCTAGTATATTCTCATTTGAATCAACGCTTCTCACCAACAATGGCTTTATTGAGGTAAAGTTTTACCATCTTTCTCAAACAAAAAGAATTTGTTGCCTACCATTCATATTATGCAAGGAAAAAAGTATATAGAACAAAATTTATATTCAAAAAATTGATATGGCCTGCTATAATAGCCAACGGGAAGGTCGAATTTTCTTTATATTTTTCTTTGTACAAATACATTTTGTAAACATGATATGACTAATGTTCAACTAGTATAGACACTACTAATTCTATCATATTTAATATCCATGACTCCTAATAAAAGCTTGAAACGCACGGATTGAAGCTGTAATCAACTTCACAGTAAAATATCCATTAACTTGAGCCCATGCAACCCAATATAGGAAGGCTTGGCAACTTCCTTCGAAGAAGCCCCTGCCGCTGCCGCTGCGCCATGACTGACCGTGGTGGCAGCCTTCTTCTTTGGGCAGAGAAAGAAGTTTCTTGATCCCAACGCCATTAAATTTTCCTCCCTATTTATACCTGTTGAAGCCACTTAATTACTAAGCAAACCATCTGTTTGTTTACAAGTATAAAAGAGGTGATTACTTAAATATTACAATTTATTGTACTCGATTCCCCATTATTCCTGGTCACATTTAGTCCCCAAACTGTCTTTTCTAGTAATTGGATGGAAATCGTTCGACTTACTGTCGAAAAAATACTTACGCCTGAAATATAGATCAACTGTTGAGAGTCTTGAGACTCGTTAAGCCGAGCTTTTGCTTTTGTAAAAGATCTTCGTAAGAAAGCATTTTACTTGATGTTTGAGAACTCATTTCTAAAGACAAACCTTTTAAATGAACTCACAATGGATCGATTTCTTCAAAAAAAACTCTTCTATCCAATAGAAATTATTTTATAAAATTATTCAAACTTTTTTTTTTTTAAATCTCAAAAGCAACCCAGAATTTATTTCCATCCATTTGTCTTTATGTGCATCAAAATAGACAATTTGGAGAACGTAAATGCAACAAAAGATGAATACAGACCCAAGCAATACAAGTAGTAATGTTTGGGACTATGGGGTGAAATTTTCCGTCACATTAATTTGAAAGACATCATTGTTCAACGCCCAATTTGAAGGGAACGAGAGCTTACTTTCTAAGCTAAACTGTGAATAATGGAGATCGAAGCCGGAAGGCGAGGTAGACGGAAAAACTGGCCGCCTGCCCCCCTTCTCGTGTAGCCGTAACACGGCGGCGATCAACTCATCAACGGTGGCCTCCGGCGCCATCACTACTTGCACGGCACCGAGGCTCCTTTGTATCGTCACATTAACCAACAACTTCGTCAGCTTAGGTTTTCCGTGTGGCAATGCCGGCAAATTTGCAACAACTCTTTTCCCGGTGAAAAATTCCTTTGCCGTCCTTGTCCTTGGCTGCATCTCCAGCCCAGTCCCGCCGCTTGAGGTTTTCCCCGATAACTTTCCCTTCTCGTTCTCCTCGTGGCCTCCTTCACGGTAATTCTTCGGTGACGGCATTTAATATAGATGACTCTGGATTCTGTATATATGTGGTGTGGGTGGCAATATCCCCTCTATCTTAGAAGAGGGGATCCCAAATTACTGTTCATCTGTGATTTGTTATCACACTTTACTGTTCCATGCGTGGACAAAAGAATGACAATTTTGATATTTCTCGTATTTTTCACATGCCACAATGATCGAGGGAGTGGATTGTTCATTTCAAACCTCTCAACGTCAAATCCTGTGTTTATATCTTCTCTCATATGCGAGTTAATTGTCACAATTGTCACTAAACCCTTGTTTGAATCCCATTTTTGGGATAAAATAAATTATGAAATAGTAATTTTTTGAAAAATGTGTAGTTAAAAAGTAAGGAAATTTTTTTAAAATTTGTGTATAATTATTTTATTGAAAAATGTGTGGTTGAAAATGAGTTTTGAAAAAATGGGAATCAATTTATTGCGCATCGAAATTTAAGATGTCGAATTTTGATTATTAAACTTATCAAAATATTGGATATTACTCACTATCTTAACATTCATTCTAATCCTTTAATATAATTAATGACGTGGCTAACAGAATATACATATGGCGCCTTGTCACGCCATTAATACATTGATACGTCTTCGATTGCTCACCAAACTTTAAAAAATATTTTCAATTGCTCAACAAATTTCTTAAAAATGTCTTTAATTGCTCACTAAATTTTGAAAAATGTATTCAATTGCTCACTGAACTTTGAGGTGGTCGAATTTTGGCCACTAAATTTATAAAAATAATATCGACTTACTGTTCAAAAAAAATATGCAGCACAATTGCACAGATCGCTTCAAAGTAATAAAGTAGACAAATGAGTTTATGTTGTCAATCCCACGAGAAATTATTACTCAATTACACAATAGTTAAATTTAATTTTTAAAATTTTTTGTAGAATTTTTAGCTATTTTCATCATTTAAAATATTTGATTATTGTAACAAAACACACAATAAATTTAATTAAATGAATTTCATTTACTTTTGGTCCCTCCGGAAAATGGATTGTGTTTCGTTACGAAAATTCGAATTTTAAATAAATTTATTGGGTGTTTTGTTGTAAAATCCATTTAATTAAATTTATTGTCTTTTTCTGCAAAATTCAAATATTAATAAATTTTAATAACGAAATAGTCTAAAAGTCTACAAAATATATTAAAATTAAATTTAACAATTGTGTAATTGAGTAATCATTTCTTGTGAAATTGACAATTTGAATTCATTTGTCCACTTTATTATTTTTTTATGTGACACATGCGGTAGCGCTACATATTTTTTAATGAACAATAGGTCAAAAACATTTTTTATAAATTTAGTGGTCAAAATTCGACCATCGCAAAAGTTTGTGAGTAATCGAAGACATTTTTCAAAGTTTAGTGAGCAATTAAAGACATTTTTCAAAGTTTGGTTAGCAATCAAAGATGTAACAATTTGTTAACGGTATAATGAGGCACCACATGTATATTCTATTAGCTATGTCGCTAATTTCATAAAAGAATTGGAACGGATGTTAGAGTAGTGAGTAACATTCAACATTTTGATAAGTTTAATGGTCAAAACTTAACATATTAAGCTTTACTGAGCAATTGAATATAGAGACATAAGTTCGATGACCATTGGGACAATTAACTCCTCATGTGCCAAACTGAATTTTTTAACCTTTTCCCTTCCCTTTCGTTCCTAGCAGCTTGAGGAATCCCTTTCCCTTTTTCGTTCCACCCAACATGTCCGTTTGATTCCTCTCCTTTTGGTTAGCTTGTATAGAGCTCTTCCTATACACTTACCAGCCTACTAGATGTTACTTTTGCTAAGGTTTGCGTAATAACTTAATGATTCTACTTTCTCTCATGTCTGGAGGTTGATTGTAGAATGATTGTATATCAAAAGCTAGGTGTTCTTAGCGCATAAGCAATATTCAAACTCGAATTCATCGGCATAGTCTTTGGTGTCAAATGGTGGTTCTGGATCAAAGTATTTTCCTCAACTATCATGTGATCAAATTTCACGTTCATATGTAACAATGAAGGCTATTGTTTAAAATAATTTTAAAAAAAAGTGTTATTGAAGATTAGGTCTTGTTCTTGAGGCCATTTTTATAATCCTTTTATTAATGCATATTTGTTATTTTTTTATGTTAGAAATTTGCGCATCAACTTGTGTATTAGAAAATTGTGATCATTTTTTACAAAAAGGATATTTCGGTAAATGCATGTCAAAAATGTCTACCTTTGCAAAGTCTTCCAAAATTGACCACATTTCAAGTTCACCACCTCAATTTTGACTGGATATCGAGGTTGCTCTAGTAAAAATTGAACAACCAACCTCTCAAAGCTGCTGTCCATGTTTTTACTAAGGAGAAGAGAAAACAACTCTAAATGCAGCCAAAAGACCAAAATAATCTGCCGAGTAACTATGGACCTTATAGACTAATAAGGATATAATTAAAAGAATAATCCTATTTAGCACCGGTGGTATGAACATCAATTTAGGTGAAACGCACGGATTAAAGCTGTAATTAACTTCACAGCAAAATATCCATTAACTTGAGACCATGCAACCCAATATAGGAAGGCTTGGCAACTTCCTTCGAAGAAGCCGCTGCAGCGCCATGACTGACCGTGGTGGCAGCCTTCTTCTTTGGGCAGAGAAAGAAGTTTCTTGATCCCAACGCCATTAAATTTTCCTCCCTATTTATACCTGTTGAAGCCACTTAATTACTAAGCAAACCATCTATTTGTTTACAAGTATCAAAGAGGTGATTACTTAAATATTACAATTTATTGTACTCGATTCCACATTATTTCTGGTCACATTTAGTCACCAAACTGTCTTATCTAGTAATTGGATGAAAATCGCTCGACTTTCTTTCGAAAAAAATACTTACACCTGAAATATAGATCAACTATTGAGACCCCATTTAGCCGAGCTTTTACTTTTGTAAAAGAGCTTCGTAAAAACAAAAAAGCATTTTACTTGATTTTTGAGAACTAATTTCAAAAGACAACTTTAAAATGAAATCACAATGGATCGATTTCTTCAAAAAAAATCTTCTATCCAATAGAAGTTAATTTATAAAATTATTCAAATATGCCCAAAAAAAAATTTTAAATCTCAAAAGCAACCCAGAACCTAATACCATCCATTTATCTTTCTGTGTATCAAACTAGACAATTTGGGGAACTTAAATGCAACAAAAGATGAATACAGACCCAAGCAATACAAGTAGTAATGTTTGGAGACTATGGGGTGAAATTTCCGTAACATTAATTTGAAAGACATCATTGTTCAACGCCCAATTTGAAGGAAACGAGAGCTTACTTTCTAAGCTAAACTGTGAATAATGGAGATCGAAGCCGGAAGGCGAGGTAGATGGAAAAACTGGCCGCCTGCCCCCCTTCTCGTGCAGCCGTAACTCGGCTGCGATCAACTCATCAACGGTGGCCTCCGGCGCCATCACTACTTGCACGGCACCGAGGCTCCTCTGTATCGTCACATTAACCAACAATTTCGTCAGCTTAGGTCTTTCGTGTGGCATTGCCAGCAAATTTGCAACAACTCTTTTCCCGGTAAAAAATTCCTTTGCCGTCCTTGTCCTTGGCTGCATCTCCAGCACAGTCCCGCCGCTTGAGGTTTTCCCCGATAACTTTCCCTTCTTGTTCTTCTCGTGGCCTCCTTCACGGTAATTCTTCGGCGACGGCATTTAATAATATATAGATGTCTCTGCATTCTGTATTTAGGCGGTGTGGAGGAGTATATATCTTCCTCTACCATGAAAGAGAGGATTATCAAATCACAGAGTCACTGTTCGTTTGTGGTTGATCTATTTCAGTATCAATTAAAATCTAGCTTTTAATTAAAGGCAAAACTTACAATTCAGGCTCATTTTTTAATAAAATAAATTGTTTATTAAAATAATATTCTCCATCACACATTCACCAAATAAAATATTCTACGCACAAATCATTAATATTTTTTTAAATTTCAATCACACATTTTCCATAAACTACTATTCAAAACACTATATTTTCTCTCAAAATGGGAGACAAACAAGCTATTATTTTAATCGCATATTTTATGAATTTCATAATTTTTTAAATATACATGTTATCCATTTTATCAAAATTTACTAAAAATTTGATTTTAACTCACAAGTGAGGCCTTAACTGGTTCTATATTGTCACTGTAGCAACTTTTACAAAATACAGCCACTTTAGGAATGTACGGAGCAAAATTTAGAAACTTTAGGCATGTAGGGTGGCAATCTTGTCATAAGAAAAGAGAATAGTACATGTATAAGTATGGCCCTGTTTGGCACCCATTTTTATCAAAAATGTATTTTTCTCTCTCTTCTTTTCAACCACACATTCTTTATTAAAATAATATTACACGTAAATCAAAAACTTTTTTTTATTTTTCAACCACACATTTCCCGTCAATTTACTATTCAAAAATGCATTTTCACATAAAAATTTCTACCAAACACCCTCTATCAATTCTTCCTTGGTAAGAAGAGAAAAAGCAACTGCATATATGTAATTGCTTTCAATTTTGTCCAGATGTGGGGCTTGTGTTGACAAGTCCACATTTTAGCTTTTCAAAATTGAAATTTGACGTTGGTGGTAGTAAGAGAAATTTAATTTGAGAAAATTTCATTGCGCATCAAATTTGGCTATGCATTATCAAAAATGTTACCTTTCAAATTTTCTATCAAAAATATCAATTTAGGATATTTTTGACCCTATGAATTATTTGAATACCTTATATATCCTTGTACAAAGCCTATGTATTGTGTCAGAATGAAATGACAAAATGTCGGAAATGAAATGACAGCATAGCTCTGAAATCGCTTACCATCGAACTGTCGTTCTCGACAATTAACATCAATAATTCTCGACAGATGGACTCATCGATAGATCAAATGAAGTTTTCGACAGATGAACTATCGGGAACGACAATTCCTTTCTATACCTAAGCTCAGTTCCACAATTTGAACTTTGGTTCTAACATTGCACGTGTGTTTCACATTAACATGTATGAAATGCCATGATCTCATGATTTGTTGATTGATTCATCGTTATTTATACTTGATTGATGCATTCATTTTTTGTGTTCCAGTTTCAGTTGTTTGTTTCGCATTTTTTGTTCATTATGCTTGATTGATGAATTCATTTTCACCTTGAAATGTCATTTTGGCTGCCCACATGAAGTGGGTAGAGATCTATGTGCACAAGGATGATTATGACAAATTGCGTTCATCAATTGACTTCCATGATAACTTTGATCAGATTAATGTTATTATTGCTTATTTATTTATAATGCAATTTTCACATTACTGGGGTGACAGGAGAAACAATGAATTTATATGAGATACGCGATTAGGGCTGGGCAAATCTCCCGAACCGAACCGACCGAACCGAACCGAACCGAACCGATCCGAACCCGACGGTTCTTGTCAAATTAAATACCCGAACGGGTATCTGAATTGAGAACCGACGGGTACGGTTCGGTTCTCAGTTCTAGACCAAGAACCGAAGAACCGAATAAGAACCGAATCTTTCTAATTTTTTTTTATATTGAGTAAATCAAATTATTTTAATTTTAATTTTTCTAAACAAATTAACAAATTAATGATTTCTAAATCCAAATTTTTGGCCCAATAAGTTGTTTCATTTCTAATTTTTTAATTTTTGGCCCAATTACCCATTTTATTATTTCATTTCTTAGCCAAACAAGATCAAATCCACTAAATAACCCTAAACACCTACAATAAAGTGCATAACGTTATCTCGACTCTCGCAGCCTATCTAATATTCCAAAACCTATACAATCGCCGAACGGTTCTATAATTATATTTGGACCCGACGGTTTCATTTACTAGATACCTGAAAAGTTTGGTTCGGTTCGGTTCTAAAGAGAACCGAACCGAACCGACCCGCGCCCACCCCTATACGCGATGGTTGTTCATCGTTCGACGTTGTTGAATGAAGTCAGAATATTTGTTAATGCGTAGTCTTATTCTTCACATTTCTATGTTCGACAATTTAATCACTGACGCGTACTTTGACTTTGGTTTGGTAAGGCTGCTACCACTGTGTAGTATGATTCAAATGCAGATGAAAGCTGGTTTGATAAGGTTGCTATCACTTAACATTTGCATAAATCTTTTTGATATCTTTTCCCTTAAAAAATATTTCAAAAATGAGGAGTATCATGATTAATAGTAGTTTCAAAAGCATTATTCACTTTGATGATCATGTTGTTTTTTTCATTTAAAAAAGACTAAGCTATTAGATTAAAAAAAAATTCGTAATAACTAACCTCTCAAAATGGACGATGAATCTAATAGTGATGTCTTATTAATCAAGGAATGAAGAAGATGGATGAAGTGAGGGTTTGTTGAATATATTTCTTTGAGGTTAAATATGTTTTTTTACTTTTATCTTTTTTTAATTAATATATATATATATATATAACTAATCAAATCATAAAATTAATTGGATTAGAACATAGCATTAAATGCTCCTAAAAGAGGACATGAAGGATAAGTTGGACATTTTCCACAAAAAAGTGACATTTTTGATAAAATTAGGTGCACATCCAAATTTTTTGTGCATTTTCAAAAAAAGTGACATTTTTTATAATTCCCCTATATATTTTAGGAATAATTATAGAGTAGGCTCCAAACCTTTCAAATAGTGACAAACTTTCTCTTAACAATTTAATAGTTGTAGTCGTCACTTCAAACCTTTCAAATCATAATACTTGAGGCAGATGTAGCAATGGGTCCAGCCGAGACGACTAGGCCCTTAAACACATAAGCTCAGCTCAGCTCAGCTCGTGCTCAAGGGGCAAGCTCAGCTTGGCCTACGAGTTCGTAAGTTCATGAGTCACGATCTCGTGGGTCGAGCCAAGCCCACAAGCTCGATTTTTATTTTTTTTGAAAATTTACAAACTTTTTATTTACATTTTTGCAAGTCCATGAGAAGCTCGGCTCGTGCTCGAGCTCGAGCTCATCAAATCGGCCTGTTTGACATCCTTAAGTAGAGGTGGACGATTTTTATCCAATCTCTCGTTAGTTGACCTAAAAAAATTAATTTTGACCACGTTTTTCTCAATTTTATTAAGGCAAAATAATAATTTAATTTTTTTCCATAAAATAATTAAAAACTTAAATCAAAAATAAAAATAAAAAAGAAGAAAATAATAATAAATGAAAAACTATCTTCTTCATCAACCCCAAGACCCCACCCCGTCTACCCCAACCCCCTCAACCCAAAATTAGAAATTTGCCACCATTACGCCTACTGTCATTGACATCGACGCCATCTCCATCAACCACTAGCATCATGAACATAACCAAATCAGGTATTTAAAATTATCCATACCTCAACCCATCTCACCCCACCCAACCTAGCCTAAAATTGACCACAACCAACTCTCCCTCCACAAATCAAGGCTTCAGCAGATTAGGTTGGTGGTAGAGAATTGAAAGCCATGAACATCAATTCCTTGTTAAACCAAGAACAATCACTACAAAAATGAATAATCATCAAACTGGTCAACCCCATATGTCATCCCACTTCGACCCGACGTGTCTTATGATGATTTCCTCGACCAAATATTGTTGGCTGTTCCATCTTCAAACTCTAGTTTTAACTGGGATGTGTCCTCCATCACGGCTTGAGACAACCACGTGTTGTCATCGAGTTTGTTTAGCTAATTTGAAGACTAGTCGGTGTTGATTTTAAATCAGAGGCAAACTAGATTAGTAGTAGCACGGCTAGAGCCTTGATGCTCTAGCAGCAATTGATGCTGTCTAGACAGAGTTTGCATTCAAAACCCAAAACCTCCATTCGGTCGAGAGAGACTAAGAGGAAGATGCAAAGGTTGTAATATAAACCAACAAGCAAAAGAAAAAAAATTGGAGTTGAGGACAAGCTTGAAGTTACTCCTCATGTGGTGGTGACGGCGGCGACAGTGGTTGAATGAGACTTTTCTTCTTCCTTTTTTTTTGATAAAGTTTTTAATATTTTATGGAAATTATTAATTTATTATTTTGCCCTTTTAAAATTGAGTAAAATATGACCAAAATTAATTTATTTTTTTTGGGTCAACTAACATCAAATTGGATGGAAACCGTCCATTGGGACCTCAGCTGTTATGATTTAAAATATTTAGGGAGATAGTTGTAACAATTGAAATGTTAGATGAAAGTCTGCTACAGTTTGAAAAGTTTAGGCCTCAGTTGCAATTGTCCTTATTTTTTTGAATTCCCATCTCATCCTTAACTTAATTAATATGATAAATGTTATGAAACTATAAAGTTAAGGGTAATTTTGGCAAATTAAATATTAGAAGGCGGGCATAATGCTTTTCCAAACTCCAGTTTTCAATGTATCTACCGAATGGATTGCCATCTGTTAAACTGAATGTAGACTGTAATGTGATTTTAGAGTTGAGTTAATTGTTCAATGGTCACTGACCTTATGTCCACGTCTTCAATTGTTTATTAATGTTTAAGATGTCAAAATTTGTCCCCTAAATTTTGAAAAATGTTGGACTTTACTCATCGGTATAATATCTGTTTAAAACCTCTAGCGGAATTGATGATGAGACTAACGGAGTGCACGTATGGTGTCTCGTCATGCCATTAAGCTTTGAGATGATCAAATTTTGGTCACTAAATTTTGAAATTTTTTTCGATTACTCACTAAATTCTAAAAAAGTGTTTTATTGCTCACTAAACTTTAAGGTAGTTGAATTTCGGCCACTGAGCTTTTAGATGATTAAATTTTGATCACT